GGCGGGAGCGCTGCCGCGCTCCCAAGCGGCGCACTGTAGTAGTGCGCCACCGGGCCGGCCCCTGAACTTGCAATTTTTAGCTGGGCAGGTTGTCATTAGGATGGATGTTATTTCCCAGGCCATGTGACTAAGTTCTGATCAATGAGACTTGAGCATAAATGTGTATACAATGGGTCATGCCTTTGAAGGAAGAGATGTGGCCTCCATTGTCCTTTTCTCCCATTCCACTGGCTGGGATACAGATATGATGATGGGAACTGGAGCAACCATCCTGGGCCATGAAATGGAAGCTGCATGACGAAGATGGTGGAGCAAAGACCAGGAGCCAAGGTCTCTGATCATTGCAGGAGCACCGTGCCAATTCTGCACTGCTTACCCAGGCATTTATGAGAGAGAGAAATAAACTCTATCTTCCTTAATGCCTATGATTTGAGGCAGCCTTGTTACACCAACTGAACCTACATCTTAACTTACATAGAGGACCAGGTGAGAGACGATGGGAGCCTGACCTCAAACTCTGGTCTTGGAATGGGAAACAGGAGAAGCATGTGCTGAGGTTGCTGTGCCAAGACTGGCCAACTGCTTCCATAGGAACTGACAGATGTGGGACTGAGGGATAAAGAATGAAATTGGCTTGGGGGACTAAGTAGATAATGCTGTCATTTCCTAAGATGTTACTTAATATAGGATGGGGGACAGGTGTGGGGAGTGGGCAGAGAATGATACTGGGTTTTCCTGTGTTACGTTAGAGGGGCCTAAGGGACCCATTAATGTGGCTTTGTTACAAGGTAAGAGGAATTGAGTGTCCAGAGCTCAGAAGAGCCAGGCTGGAGATGAGCAATTTACAAGGCTCAAGTGGTATGATAAAGAGATGGGCTCCTCAATAGTGAGGGTCAAGGACACAGCAAAGGGGCAGGAGGAAGAGTTGAGCTGAGCCACTGAATTTGAAGAATCCATTGAAAAGAGGGAGGGGAGAATCGGGTGAGCCACGAATGCTAAGGGAGGAGAGCGTTTCGAATGTGACACAGGTTCCAGAATCCAACGCTGTGGAGCAACGGAGCAAATGAATCAGAAGAGAGCTCCTAGGATTTGGCCGTGGATGACCCTTAAGCAAGTGATTTCAGGGAGGTGGTGGGAAACGTACTGAAGACGAGAAGGAATGAGCAGCTGGGAAAGCAGCGGAGGAAAGGGGCTGCAGCGTACTCTCATGGAGGTGCTGATAACTGGAAAGAAGGAGAAAGAGGGGATGGCAGCTTGAAGAGGAGAGGCAGGGAAAGTGGGCCAAGGAAAGGGTGTCCTAGGATGAGGGATCTTGAGCCTAGTGAGACCGAAGAGCAGGAGGCAGGAGAGAGAAGGCTGAAGGAGGTGGTGGAAGACTCCCGCGCATGGTAATAGCAAAGGAGGTAGCAGGATGGGGGAGGGGTGCAGGGTGGAGCAAGGGAGGGAAGACAGTGAAGACGGGAGAGGAGCTGAGGACCAGGGGAAACCACTCTGCCTGTCTGTGGGAAGCTGAGATTAGAGCTTAGGAGAGTTTGGAAACAGCCACCATGTTGAATGGGATAAGGAGTAAACTACCCTCAACTAAAAGAGGCTGGCACCAACTGGGTTGGAAAATAGAAACTCACATTGGTCTAGCCAGCACCTCCAGGGGACTCTGCCACCCACACTGATTAAGGAGACATGATGAGGGTGATGGGACACACAAGGTGTGGCAGGTATAGTAAGCACATGGAGAGGATTGTGATCATAGATGGAGTCCAGGCTGGGAACCCAGGAGGGAACTGGTGGGCTGGGAAAACCAAGAGGCATCAGGGTGCTGTAATCTCAGCAAGGAAGAGCTGCCAGTCACCAAGGATGAGGGAGGGAAAGCGGCAGAAAGAGACTGGTGGAGGAGAGAGCTGTTTCCCGAGGAATAAGGTCAGATATTGATGGCTCGTGGGTGGGGATATGTCACAACTCAGAGCAACAGTGAAGGCCGAGGGTGAGGGAAACTGGGGATCTGTAAGCAAGGACCCCCTGGACTGGCTCTGCCTGCACAAGGCTCAGGAATAAGGTCAGATATTGATGGCTCGTGGGTGGGGATATGTCACAACTCAGAGCAACAGTGAAGGCCGGGGGTGAGGGAAACTGGGGATCTGTAAGCAAGGACCCCCTGGACTGGCTCTGCCTGCACAAGGGCCAGGTAACAGCCCGGAGGACCAGAAGAGCGAAGCAGACTTCAAAGGAGGAGGGAAGGGCTGCAGTGCCCTGAAAACTGTATGAGAAACGAAAAGATGGAGACTCCTCCCATCCGGAGGCCAGGGGAAGGAGTGGAGCAGAAAACAGGGGCTTCCCGCTGAGTCGGCCTCAAGAGAAGTGGCTTCATCAAGGAAAAACAAGGTTGCAATTAGTGGGAAGAGGAAGAAAGAGTGTTTTAGGAAAAGAGAATAGACTTAGAGATGCCATATAGAAGAAACAAGAAGGCTAAGTGTCTGGAGAGATGTGCTATAGAGGGGCAGGGCTGGACTTTCTGGGATGAGAGAGCAGGGACAGGTGCACACGGGTGGGGACTGTCCACTGAGCCTGAGCTCCATCTGCCCCCTGCACAGCACTGGGTTCTCGCTCTCCTAACCCTTTCACTGTGGCTTCCTGAGCTCTTGTGATCAGCCAACAGCCCCGCACCCTTAACCCCCTCAAGGAACTTGTGCTCTACCTCCAGGAAGCCACTCGGCTGTCCCTGGACAACTCCAGCTCCCCACACCCTCTCCCTGGAGATGCACTTGCCCTCCTGCATCCTCGCTCCCGCCAGCTGCCCCGTGCTGCCACCATCACTCCAACCTCTCCCCTCTCTGGAGGCCCACACCATGCACAGGTCCCATTCTCCCTGGTTCTCATTGCTACTCTCCCCCACACCCAGGACACCTGCTCACTATTCCTTGGTGATTTCAGCACTTGCTTCACAAGTTGCCTATTTGATTGTCAGTTCTCTCACAAAATATCAGTATCTATGTCAACATCGATAGGGATGACCCATTCCCCAACACAGCTCCTTGTCCTCCAACAACTAATATCCCCTCCCCTTTAGCTGCCACCTCAAACCTCCAGCCACTCAGAACCAGTCCTCTAGCAAAACCATGACTTCTGAAACCCCTTCTCTAGAGACAGCTTCCAGTATACCCAACTTCCCACTCATGAAGAGTGAGGCAACCAACACAGAGCCTGGCACACAACAGGTGCAAAATAAATGTGCATTTCCTAGCCCATCCCTATTCTTTGTCCTCTTCATTGGCTCTGGCCCCTGTCCCCCTGTGTCCTCCCTGCACAGCCCACCACCATGCTCAGGCTGCCCTGGCTCCCTCACCCCCACCTTCATCACCCCAGGCTTGACCATGCCCGACACCTCCCCACCCACCTGCCTCTCTTCCACTTCTTGGCCACTGAGTATTATGAGGCAGGTGACTCTACTACAAAGTCTCCAACCTAGAGAGGGCAATCTTGTGTCTGCTCAGGAATCCTTGATTTCAATCTAATTCACCCCTCATTCCTCTCCCACGACTCCAAACTTTTCTCCTCTTTTCAAACATGCAAAGATGCCGATACCGCCCATCTCTAAACACTTACCGCATTCTTACCACTGCCAACGTTACTTACTGACATGCAAAGGTGATCATGATATATTCTTAGGCAATAAAATTCAGGTTGCAATATAACATATATAAAATGACCTCACTTTTGCAAAAAGAAAAATACTCATGCATATCCTTCTGGGAGGACATGCAATAAAATATTAACAATGGCTCTCTCTGAGTGGTGGAATTATGAGTGATCCATTTTTTATTTATACTTTTCCACATGTTCTACATTTCTCATTATTACCATGTATTCTGTAAATCAGGAAAAAATTACGTTTTTATATTTTTGTTTGGCACCTCCACTACCACGTGAAGGCGCTGTGAGGAGGACGAGGCAAATAGACTCACAGGAGCTTCATCTCCGGGCCCCAGCACACAAAGGCTTGCTTTCAGGTAGCCTCTGGCCCCAGCAGAGAAGTCATCAGGGTCTGAGAGCAGCAGCCACTTCCTGAGATAGGCATGCCCTAAAAGAGACAATATCCACTGGTGACCCCAGAACTGAAAGACTCAAGTCTGCAACCACATCCAGCAGCCCAGTATGGGCCACACAGTGGGATCAAGGACTCATCCACTGGGACTTGGGAGCAGGACTCAAATTCTAGAATCAAACGTCCTTTGAGTGTTCATGTGGGTCAGAAATATCAACAGAAACCCCATCAGAGGCTTCCAAAACCAAACCCACGGCCATTTTCCTTGCCCTCAGGAAGTGAGAAGACCAGAGCAGAAACTTCAGTAAGGAGAAATCCTGGACTTGTTACTCAAATGACCCATCCCTGTCTGAGGTGGCCCCAGGCTCCAGCAACTCTTGCTGGGGCCTTCCAGATTTATCATCCCTGAATGGGCTGAGACACAGTGGAGGGTCTGATCTTTCTGAAGAACTGCTTTATTTGGAGGATGGATACCTGCCTTCTCTTCCAAGATCAAATCCCGCCCCTAAACTCTAAAACCCCCAGGGAGCGTCCCAAATGATTGTCCCCAAGCAGCCTCTGGAACCAAAATTCAAGGATATGGCCAAAATGGTGAGAACTCACGGGGCTCTCTGTAAATGGTGCCCACGTCCATCTGAAATCCAAGAGAGGAAACACAAATCACACGCTTGCCACTGAAGTGCTAAATAAAGCATGGTGCATTATATGATTCCATTAAAAATCGTGTTTTTGAAAAACATTTGGAGACATAGGAAAACATTCATCATTTGATACTACGTGGAAAGAAAGTGGAATACATTTTGATCCCAGTTTGACAAAGTATGCTCGTGCACAGAAAAGAAAGAAGAAAGGAAACACGACAATACAGTAACTATGCTATCTCTGAGTGGAAGATTTGTGTGATTTTTATTTCATTTTCCATTCTTTCCTGTATTTTATAATTTTCTACTAAAAAATCATAGAATATTGGGATGTTCATAGCAGGGGAGGCTGCAAGGACAGGACAGGGGATATATAGGAAATCTTTACTTTTCACTCAATTTTGCTGTGAACCAAAAATTGCTTTAAAAACTAAAGCCTGCCTTTAAAAAAAAATAGTAGATTATTTTCATCATTAGAAGCGGAAATAATTTTTTGAATTTAACCCTTGGGTTCTCAGGACGAGAATGCAAAGATTAAAGACTCAAAACGTATTTAAGATTTTGTGTGTTACAGAATGACTCAGGCTCAAATCCATTCCTTTAATAAAAAATCCTTCTCCAGGGCCGGCCCGGTGGCGCACTGGAGAGTGCGCCGCTTGGAAGCGCGGCGGCACTCCCACCGAGGGTTCAGATCCCATGTGGAGACCGGTTCCCGCTCACTGGCTGAGCGCGGTGCGGGCGCAACACCGAGGGTTGCGATCCCGTTGCCAGTCCCGGTACAGGCGTGACACCGAGGGTTGCGATCCCATTACCAGTCAGTAAAAAAGACAAAAAGGAAAAAAAAATCCTTCTCCAGGAAAACAGCGTAGTTTTTTATCTTGCGACAACTTCCTGGAGAAAAGGGGAGTTATTTTTTTGGATTAGAAGAGGCAGGTTAAAATAGTCTGTACTCTTTCTTTCCTTTCGATAAATCCTTTAAGATTCTAAAATGAGAAAATCAATAAGACTTACATTAAAACACCATTCAGGACTCCTTCATTTTATGTAATTTCTAGTTACCCTTACTTTATGTAATCTGTTAAATCCATCCTATGAGCTGAATTGTACAGTCAGGTCTCAGTTCTCTGAAGTAAACCATTCACTTCTGGACTGTTTGGGGCAAACAGCAGGCAGTGGGCAGGCCCCCCTACCTCCACCACCCCTCCATTCCCTGGAGGTCCCCGTCTGAACCCCACTCCCAGGTGGGGTCAGGAGGGTCAGGTCACGGCAGAGACCAGGGGTGGGGAACCTCGCTGGACTAAGATGACCAGAACTAGGAGGAGGAATGTGTACAGGCAAATCTCACTCTGCCTTCCCAGATGCAGGGACAAACACAAATTAAAAATAAGGAGCTTGGGGCTGGCACCATGGCTCACTCGGGAGAGTGCGGCACTGGTAGCGCTCGAGGCTGCGGGTTCGGATCCTATATAGGGATGGCCGGTGCGCTCACTGGCTGAATGTGGTGCAGACCACACCGTGCCGAGGGTTGCGATCTCCTTACCGGTCAAAAAAATAAAAAATAAATAAATAAGGGGCTTGATTCCCCCTGTTGGAAATAAGGGCAGAGATTTCCCTCCCCTCTCTTTTTGTCACAACATTTACCTTAGAAAACTTGTAAATGTAAGGCTTTGAAATGTCTGTTTTTAGAAACTAAGCCTTTTGTTAGCTTCAGGATATAGGAATGTCTTTCTCAAGGACCTGGGAGCCACCTCTTTGAAATGTAAACATCAGGAGTGGTGCCGCCACTGTCACCCAGTCTCTGCGGGAAGGCCAAGGCCGAAGCTTAACTTCCGTGGGCACCTTGCTCCAACTTGTAAAACTGCCTCCTGCTATGAAGATATGCCTTCTATTTTTGTTTTTTTCTTCAGATAAAGTAAATTAGCTAACATAAATGGTCACCCAATGACCAGGTGAATTTAGGATAAACTATGTGTGACCAGTGGCACTATCAAGTCCTCTTACTGGAGGACTCGTTATTTTTATCTTGAAAACATGTATGGGATGGAGTGTGCCCACTGGCTATATTAAAAGGTGAGATTTCGGGCCGGCCCGGTGGCGCACTGGAGAGTGTGCCGCGCTCCCGCCAAGGGTTCGGATCCCAGGTGGAGACCGGTTCCCGCTCACTGGCTGAGCACGGTGCAGGTGCAACACCGAGGGTTGCGATCCTGTTACCGGTCAGTAAAAAAAAAAAAAAGACGGGCCGGCCCGGTGGCGCACTGCTACAGTGCGCCACTTGGGAGCATGGTGGCACTCCCGCCGAGGGTTCGGATCCCACATACAGACCGGTTCCCGCTCACTGGCTGAGCGAGGTGTGGGCACAACACCGAGGGTTGCGATCCCGTTGCCGGTCCCGGTCCGGTACGGGCGCGACACTGAGGGTTGCGATCCATTGCCGGACACGAAAAAAGACAAAAAGGAAAAAAAAAAAAATTAAAAGGCAAGTAAAATGAGACAGATTTTTGGATAAGATCATATCAAAGGTTTACTATTAATACTTTTTATTCCATGAAGAGATTGAACAAATTCAAATTCCACATGACTTTCAGAAAAATATATAGCTATAGGTAGAGGCATGGATATAGGGAGAAACAAGACGCTAGACAAAGCTTCTTAGATTTAGGGATCTTGTTAAAATGCAGATTCTGATTTAGCAGGTCTGGGTGGGGCCAGAGATTCTGCATTTCTAACAAGGACCTGGTGATGCTGATGCTGATGGACACAGATCGCACTTTCAGTAGCAAGAAGCCAGCTAGCTAGACAATCCCTGGTTAGTGAAACAAAAGAAATGCAAAGACAGGCTGAAACTCTACAGTGACTTTCTTTTTTTTTTTTTGAGAGCAAAATCTTGGGGTTGAGCCAAGGCTTATCCTGAGGACTCAAGATGTGAGTTCCTTGTTCAGCACCTGCCCAGGGCCCAGGGAAACCTGCCCAGGAGGACCCTTAGGATCCCATGCACATCTGCCTTTGAGGCTGGACAGACCAGGCCGGTGCCCAGCACCACAGCTGCTGAAGGGCTAAAGGAGGAGACTGGGGTCAGGGAGAGCCCACCCGTCACCTGGAAGTCCTGCGGTTTGTCTGACAGCAGCTTTTTGGGCGTGGGCGCGCGTCTCTTTCTTTTGCTCCCAGGGTGGTAGGGGGGAGGATGAGAAGGTGGCTTCCTGGGGCTGGTGGGAGCCCCCGGGTCTAGAGCGCCACTCTGATCCAGGAATGGCTCTGCCTCATCTCCCGTGAGCCCCTGGTCCTCGGTGTCCTGCTCTCCTCCTGTATCTGGGAGGAGAGGGTGCCAATGAGGGCTGGGTCCTTCATCTGGGGATGCGAAGGGCAGGGGCACTAATACCAACCACCCACCTCCCCTGTTCCCTTCCCTCCCCTCCCCATCGGCAAGCCAGGATGGATGAGGTAGAAAGAAAAGGAGCTTCCAGCAGCTGAAACTTGAAGGCAGTCAGTCCAGTTAGTCAACAGGAAGGCAAGAGAATGGCCCTAGACCTCCCCACCCACCAAGTCCTGCAGGATGAGCCTTCTGGCCACCTTGCCACACTTCAGTGAGCTGAGCATGGCACATGTGAGACGGTTACAGGCAGTAGGATCTGGGATGGGGACAGCCCTGGCCCACGTCTCACCCATGGTGGCCGGCCACTTCTTCCCAGAGTATCTCGTGTCCACGGTGCTGTCACTAAGCAGGGACCAAGTCTCGGCCCGGCTCTGTCCCCCGCCTGGCACGTGGGCAGGGCACAGCCCCAGGAGGGGCAGGAGGGAGTTGGGGTGAGGAAAGCCAACCTGCTGCACCCCAACCCTGCCCCTGCCTTCTCCACCCACCCCAGCCTGGCACAAAGCCCAGAAACAGCTGCCATGTCTGGGAGGGACTGTCCCTTCTCACCACCTTCCAGGCAGGACTGGGAGCCTACCCTGACCAGCCAAACCTAACTCTGTCAGACCCACGTCCATGTGGTCCCAGAGTATCTGGGGCCCTCCCCCTCCCCACCCTCTGTCACCGGGAATGCCCCGTCTTCCTCCCCTGAGCCTATTCCAGCTCTAGTCCAGCTCAGGATTTCCTGGGTTACCCCAGTCCAGACTGATCTCCCATCTCTAAGCTGAGCCCCAAGACGATGGCCCTTTCTGCTGCCCTCACTGCAGAGCCCTGCAAAGACTGGCCTCCAGGACAGGCTCGGGGCACTCCTAAGACAGGGTCTGCACGGGCTTTAAGGTTGTATTTGCTTCTAGCTCCCTTCACTGTGACAGAAACTCAAGGATCTTTTGTGTGGGCAAGTCCACACTGGCCCATCTGTGTGGCTGCCTCCCCACCCCAGCAGGTTGGACCATACGGAGGCCACCAGCTTCCATGCCCCAGCCCACCACTGGCAAGCCAGCCACCCTGGGCTGGGTCCTCGTTTGACGAGCCCAGCAGGGACAAGTGAGGAGAGTTGAGGCAGGATTTAGCTAATTCGGTCTGCTCATTTCAGAAATGGTGATCTGTAGGTGTGGAAAGGGAGAGTGACTGGCCCAAAGGCACACAGCTACTCAGTGTTGAAGGCAAGACTGTAACTCATGTCCCCTAACTTCAGCTCAGGGCTCTCCCAAGGAAAAAATAGCTCTTTTGTCAAACCATTACTAAAGGACTGCTGAGTGCCAGGGTGGGGAAGCTTTCAGTTCCGGGGAGTATCACCTGGGACAGACCCCATCCCGGTACACCCATCTCAGAACTGCTCAGTGCAGAACACCCCCACCCCGCGCCACTCCCAGCAGTACTCGAGGGATCGTGCCTCCCATCCCTTTTCTCCTCATGGCACAAGGCAGCTCTCAGGACCCCCACCCACCCGCATCTTCTCTTTTCCAGGCATGGGCAGCCCCCAACCTGGGGAAGGCAGCAAAGGCCACGAAGCCCCACTGCAGCCCCCAACCCCCAAGCACAGGTGCCACTGCCAGCCTTCTTGCCAGGGGCCCTGCCAGGCCGAGGGTGGGCTCCTCACCAGCCACCACATCCAGGTCAGGCAGAGTTGGGGAAGGCTCCAGAGGAGTGGGGGGTGGGAACAGGGGCACAGCACAGGTGCCACTGCCAGCCTTCTTGCCAGGGGCCCTGCCAGGCCAAGGGTGGGCTCCTCACCAGCCACCACGTCCAGGTCAGGCAGAGTTGGGGAAGGCTCCAGAGGAGTGGGGGGTGGGAACAGGGGCACAGCTCCAGGGAGAGGCGTGTAGGACACCTGCAGGACCAGCGAAGCCTGGAAGAGATGGGGGAGTGGGCAGCAGGTTAGTGCACTGGCCTCACACCACTGCCCTCCCACATCCTTCCTGTTTCCTGCATCCCTCCATCAGGAAATACGTTTTGACAAGGGTCAGGTTAGCAGGAGGCTGTGGAAAGCCACCCCCAGGGATCCATCAGCATAGTCAGGTGGTTAAGAGACAGAATCTGGTGTCAGCTTCCATTGCTCAGGAGTTGCGTGACCTTGGGCAAGATCTGGAACCTCCCTGTGCCTCAGTTTCCTCATCCATAAATTGGAGGTAGTAATATCAACAGCACCTCCTTCATAGAATCAAATGAGGTTTAAATTAGTTGATAGAACAAGTAATAAGCGTCCACAAATAAATTAGGGATCCAGCCTCACCTCTCCTGCAAGATTTTTTAACTCTCAGTCTTGGTCTGTCTTCAGGAAAAAGTCCCCTTGGCCACTCTGCTCAGCCAAGGGCCCTCCCCTGCTTCTCCATAGACAACTCAGCTTTGCTTTGCTCTGCTTCAGGTCACAGTTAGCACTGAGAGGGTCTTGGGGTGCCACTAGCCTTTCTAATCCCTCTCCCCCACTAGAAGCACCCCTACCCCTTATCACATTCTCAGGTGCTCTGGCTTCGACCAGCCAAGAGAGGAGAGTGACTGGTCACACCATTCACATGGAAAAGGGAAGGTTGTCTGTGCTCCCAGCCCACCCCGACCTGCATTGTTCCTGTCCATGCTCCCAACCCTGAGATCTGCATTGTTCAAAGGGACACCTGAACCCCAGGAAAAGGTACAACTTCACAGGCTCTCCAGCCTTGCAGCTCCTTGACCAGCAGGGGACTGACTGGCTGAGCCCTTCCCTGGAGCCACAGGTCCAGCGAGCCTCCTGGGGCAGCTAATCATTAATCAAAGTAATAAGTGCTCTATTTAAGACAGCTTGGAAGGTACAAAAACCTTAAAGAAGAAAAATAATGCAAAAGAAAACAAACTGTCAATAATTACCCCACTCAATATTTTTATATAATTCTCTGCAATCTTTTTAAACAGTGTACATCTCTGCTGTATATAAAATGCTTCTCTCTTGCTTAATGTTAGCTATAAGCATTTCCCCAGGTCTTGACAAACCCTTTATAAACATAATTTTTAGTGATGCATAATCTCATTCTGAGTGGCTCTGGCATAGTTCACTGGGCATCTCTACTGAGTGATATTAGGGACATTCAAAGACTCTTGGGAACAAACCCTGTCCCCAGACTGAAGGGGCCTAAGGCCCCCCCATGTATCCAGGTCTCAGGCTTGAACCCTCATGACTGGGGCCTGGGAGGGGCAGCCAGGCTAAGGAAGGGCAGGATGGGTAGGAAGGGGCGGCTCAGAACACTGAGGAAAGAGGCAGGAACCAGCTCAGCGTCCCAAGAGACCAGGAAGGAGGCAACTGTAACTGAAACTGAAAGTGCCAGATGCAAAGCATGGTCATCACCCTGCAGGTTCCTAAACCACCACCAGGTGTCGCCACTTGAGCACACTCAGTGCCTGCAAGCCAGGGAACGGTCAAGCACAGCCTCCCTGGTCTCACCCAGACGCCACGCCCAGCTTCTGGAGATGCCAATTCAGTAGGTCTGGGGTGGACCTGGGCATCTGCATTTTTAACAACCGTCCTGGGGCTTTCCTCCACTAAATCAAAAGGCAAGTTGGACTCTTTGGAGAAATAACTAATTCCAGGGCTAGGGCAGGAAAAGTACAAGATGAGCCTGGGCCATCTTTTTGTGCCGGAAAGGAAGGAAATGCTCAATGAATGATAAAAACATGTCAAAAGGATACAGAAGCCAGTTTTCAGGGGCTCCCGCTGGCCAAATCTGGGACAATTTAAACATGAAAATAAATAGCAATAGTACCAGATTAAACTGTTGAATGAAATAGAAATAGATGAATCCATATTGAAATAGGTAAGTAAATAAGTAGAAGAGAAAGCTTTTCCTTACAGTGGACGGACAACTGTTTAATGCAAAACATGATAATCGATTTTAAATATTGCCATTTAGCAACCATCAAATTACTGAATTAATTCAAACAAGAAATAACAAATGGATGTTAAAACTCATGGGTAAAGGTTGGATGAGGAATAGGATATTTTCAGAGTCACGAAGTACCTCCCCATAAAATTCTTACTTATTAGAAAGGGAGTGGATGAATGATTAGTGGGGAAACCCAGTAAATGCCAGCGTAGTCAAATGGTCAAGGTTAACAATGCAGTAATGAAACAAATCAAAACTGTACCACTTGGGCCGGCCCGGTGGCGCACCGCTACAGTGCGCCACTTGGGAGCGTGGTGGCGCTCCCGCCGAGGGTTCGGATCCCACATACAGACCGGTTCCCGCTCACTGGCTGAGCGAGGGGCGGGCGCAGCACCGAGGGTTGCGATCCCGTTGCCGGTCCCAGTCCGGTACGGGCGCAACACTGAGGGTTGCGGTCTGTTGCCAGACACGAAAAAAAAAAAACTGTACCACCTGATAGGGTAGAACTAGAGTCACATTCTAGAATGAGTCCCTTGTGTTACATTCTCACCAAAGATGCATACTCCAGTCTAATGCAAGTAGTAGTCAAATGGTCAAGGTTAACAATGCAGTAATGAAACAAATCAAAACTGTACCACTTGGGCCAGCCCGGTGGCGCACCGCTACAGTGCGCCGCTTGGGAGCGTGGCGGCGCTCCCGCCGAGGGTTCGGATCCCACATACAGACCGGTTCCTGCTCACTGGCTGAGCGAGGGGCGGGCGCAGCACCGAGGGTTGCGATCCCGTTGCCGGTCCCAGTCCGGTACGGGCGCAACACTGAGGGTTGCGGTCTGTTGCCAGACACGAAAAAAAAAAAAAACTGTACCACCTGATAGGGTAGAACTAGAGTCACATTCTAGAATGAGTCCCTTGTGTTACATTCTCACCAAAGATGCATACTCCAGTCTAATGCAAGTAAACATCAGACAAACCAGGTTGAGGGACAGTCTACAAAATAACTGGCCTGTGTTTCCAAAAGCGTCAAGCCTACAAGGTTATAAAAGTCAAAGAAAGACTGAGGAATTATCCCAGATGGAAGGACACTGAAGAGACAAAACAACGAAAAACAGCACATGATCCTTAATCGTATCCTTTTGCTATAAAGGACACTGTTGAAAAAAACTGATGAACCTTGAAGCGGGGGGGTCCTGTGGATTGGATGAAATTTTTGTCTCAATGTTAGTTTCCCCATGTTGAAGGTTGTGTTGTGGTTATACAGAGAGTACTTCAAAAAGTTCGTGGAAAATAGAATTGAAATATAATATGAATCTTTCGTGAACATTTGAAGTACTTTGTGTAGAAGAAAGTCGTTAACTGGGTAAATACACATTAAAGTTTAGGATGGTGGGCCAGGAGGTTGGCAACTTAATATCAAATGGTTAGGGACAAAACAGTCTTTGTACTATTCTTGGCAACTTTTCTCAAAATCTTAAATTATTTCAAAATAAAATGTTTTTAAAAACCTGAGAAATCCTGCTTCTGCTTTAGCAACAGGAATCTCACCCGACAGATAAAGCCCCTCACCCACTCAAGCTCATTGCCGCCCTCCAGGAGTAGTAGGAAGATGGGATCAGGACCAGCACATGATCTGCAGGCCCAAGGCAAATGAAAATATGGAGCCTCTTATGAAAAATTAGGAAAAAACAATTGTTAAGAATTTCAGGTGGCAACAGGAGAGAATCAAACCCAGCACTGGCCCTTCTGAGCATGGGCCCCTGTCCCATGAGGCCAGTCCTGTGCGGGTGTTCACTTGGCTCGGCCTGAGTTGGGCCTGCACCGGAAAGATAGGAAGCGGGGACCCTGCCTGACATGTCTGGCCTGACCCATTCATTCATTAATTCATTTATTCATTCCCTTCACAAATATATATATCAAGCACCTGCTAGGGGCCGAACGTTGTTCAAGATACTGGGGATGCTTCCATGAGTAAAACAAAGGCTCCCGTTCCCAAGGAGCTGAAATCTTGGCAGAGGAGACAGACAACAAATAATAAATGAAATAAATATGTCACCTATAGAGTATGTTAGAAAGAAAAGTAAACCAGGGCAAGAAGGATCAGGGGAGCAGGAGGGCTTGCAGTTTGCAGTGTTAAATCAGGTGGTCTGAGTGGACTCCAGTGAGGTGGGGAGACGTAAGCAAAATATTAAAGGAGTCACACTTTGGCTGCCCTTGGGACTGTGAACCTAGGACCATATGTCCTTGAAGAGCACCCCTTTCTATTTCTAGGGGCTCACGCTGCCTATCCACTCCCTCCACAGCACTTGGGGGGTCTGGTACACCATCTCTGTGCAGAGGCAGAGTCGCAGGAGTGTAACTGCTCCACACCATGGCCTGGTGCCAGCACCTCAGCATAGGGGCTTGGGAGCAGCGCTCTACAAGACACAGGAAGGAACAGCAAGCCCTAGAACCCAAAGACCATCCCGGCATCCCTTCCTGGGGTTTCCTAAGCCTCAGGTACTTCTACGCTGTCGTTCCATGCCAACCTCCTGGAGTATTGGCAACATCTGGGTGTCTCCGGGCACTTGGAGGAGACTTCCAGCACAGAGCCAGGTCCACCTTTTATACAGCCCATCCAGGAGCCACTAGGACATCCCTGGCAGCTGCAGAGGCTCTAAAGCCCAGGCTCTAGAATAGATCTCGCCACCAAGGGGCGGGCTCCAAGGACCACTGCTTCAGGAACAGGCATGGTTAATAATGGAGACCTCTAGCTCTACTGAGGATGTAAAGGGGGAGGGAGCATGTCTGTGGACACCACCCAGGGCCATGTGCTCCCACCCTTGCTGTGACATCATAACTCAGCTCCTGTCGCCTTCTCCAAACAACCAGAGTTGAGATTTTCTTCCTGCGGGATTTATGTGATCCCTGTACGCTCCCAGACTACATGACCTTGGCCTAGAGACCCCAGCGGAACCCTCTTCAAGGCCTTCCACATCAAGGTACTCTAGCTGAGAGCCCAGTTAGTTCCTCAGGTTTCCAGCCCCAGCAACACTGCGGGGTTATCCTGCCACGAGCCCATTATCAGTCAATCACGTGTCCACCAAAACACGCTGCCCTGGAGCAGGGTGCCCACGGCACCCTGTCTGCTATCTTGGGGTCCACAGTCAACATCAGCAGAACCCTGGAGGCTTCTGGCTGGCCCCCAGGCTAAGAGAGCTCAGGAAACCAAAGGCAAAGGCAGGGAACAGCCTCATCAGACCCTTCCAGGCCCCCACCCTCCTCCTGGCTTTGGGTCCTTCCCCCATCTGACCATGCTCAGCCCTGTTGCTTGCCCCTGGGCCACAGCTGTCCAACACTGAGCTCATCGAGACCAAACCCCAGGCCAGCCCGCGCCTACCTCCCCTAACACACACTGTGCGAGTGGACAGGCCAGGCCTGGTGCTGTCTGTGTCATGCTTTTCCCTCACAACCTCCAGAAGCCAGCAGAGTGCAGGACGTGGCCCTGAGCTGACGCAGGGTGGGTTGGCAGAATCTTTGCACCACTTGAAGGAAGCTCAGGATTCACCAGAGCATTGTGTCTGCCCTCCCTGGCCCCTGCTGCCACCTTCAGTGCCCTCCTGGCTCCCTGCCCACCGCATCACTTCATGTGCTCTCATCACCTGGGAGCTTCCCTTTCTGATGTGACTCTGGCTCCTGCCATTGGGGTGATACCAACACAGTTTCACCTGTATCCACACCTTCATTAGTGAGCTGCTCTTGAATACATTTGTGAGTATGTTCTTTCCTTCCTGCTGCGTGGCTCCTCCAGGACAGGTGTGGTGATCTCCCTGTCAGCCTGGGAGATGTGTGAGGAGATTGGGCCCCTCTGCATGGCACACAGCCCAGCGTGCCATGTCTAAAGTGTCTTGGGTGAGAACACTGAGCTACGACCAAATGCGGGTGCCTGGCATGCTCTGCTCAGTGGGCCCAACCCAGAAGTCAGGCCTCAGCAAGTGACCAGTGAGCATCCTCAGCTCCTCCTGGCTCTCCGTCCCTTCTAAGCACATCTGAGTTCTAGGTGCCTCCCACTGCAGTGCAACCAGCCCAGCTCCCAGGCAGGATGCCCCAGCTCAGAGGGTCTTCCCAGCTGCCTGTGGCTGCGCTGTGACTGTAGGCCTAGCACAGGGACTAGAATCTGGCGCTGGCCCTCTCCACAGGTGAGCACTGCCTCCTGGGCAGCAGGGAGGGTGTCCCACCTCTCCCAGCTAGGGGGTGCTCAGCTAGGGGGCTCAACCAACCAGGGTCCAGCCCTCCCCTCCCACCCACCACCTCCTGGCTCTCACGCGCCCTTCTTGGAGACATGGTTGGTGAAAGATTGTCAAGCTCTGCAGACAGCCAGGGAAGAGAAAGCAGCAGGCTCCCCAGTTGGTGAGCATGAGACCCAGACAGAGTTCGAGAACAAGGAGCACCAGAAGGAGAGGTGAGGAAGCCAGAGGAGGGCCACCAGCCTGGCTCAGCCCGTGGACAGGAACCAGGTGTGGAAAGCTGTCTTGGGGGCTGGATGGGCCTTGGAGCTTGAAGGGGAGCAGGTGCAGGAAACCCAGTGTCATGGGCGCATACAGGGCTGGGGTGGAGAGATGGTGATGTCTCAGCATGCAAGTGAGAAACCCTGGTTGGAGGCTTTGGGGCCTACTACACAGCAAAGTAGGCAGTCCATCCCTGAGATGCGACACAAAAGCACCAAGCAGATCCCTCTACTCCCGGCGCCTCTCAGCACCTGCTGCCTGGATGCCGATAATTTCATTAGTTTTCTGTGCCTTTAGGGTTGGGTAGGACCCCCAGGATCACTTGAAGGGATAGTTCCAGAAGTTCTTGGGGTCCTCCTTGACTACAAAGAGTTTTAGGAGACTGGAGAGCTCCAAAGGAAGGCAAGAGGGGATTCAGGAGGTGACGGAGACAGGCTCAGCGAATAAATACTGCACTGAACCAGAATGTTCTACCAGTGAGCACTGACTGAGAAAGGAATGGATTCTCCTCAGTAGTGGCATCTCCCCATCAAGGAAGCAACCCAGCCATCACTGGCCTAGGATGCTGTGAGAGAATTCCAGCATCGGGCAGGTGGTAGACTGGGCATCCGGTGAACCAGGAGTCCATTCAAGTCCCTTCCACCCAGAGAGTTTAGGAGATGTGCCCTGGTTCATGTCCCCACTTGGACATGGCACCAGTTGCTCTCTTTCTCTAGGTCTCAGTGCCCACTGCAGTTCCGCTCAGAGCTCTGCCCAGACTGGCCACTTCCTGACTCACTAGGCCAGCCAAGGGCCCCAACATCGCACACACACAAACACATCCCACGGGGCGATGCGGTCCCCCGTCTGACAGAACTCAGAGCCCAGAATCCCCCAGGCCCCACTGGGAGGAAGTATTTCCAAACCAATAAATAGTTTTCTGGTGATTAGAGTGTGGCATTGTAACACCAAAGTCAAAAGTTCGAATCCCAGTCAAAAAAAAATGATAGTTCCCTGGTGCATCCTGGGAGGCTGCGCTGACCCCAGAAGGAAGGCCAGGAATTCTCCTGACCAGGAAGAAAGAACCCTGCAGGGTATATTTAGCTCGCTAAAAATAACAGGAATAACAGGAGGCCAGAGAGAGGGCTGGGTATTGTCTGCTTGTACTGGGAGAGCACTGGGAACGCTGGGGGAGGGGCGGGCAGGACAATGGAGGAAAAAGAAGGGGGTCTGACAGGTCCTAGTAGGCAGGGAAGAGGCCTGTCTGTCTCCCTTCCCTTGTGTTCTGTGACCCAGATGACTCAGATATTCTGAATCTGGAGAAGGGGGCTGGGCAGTGTGGGAGGGAGGTCCAGAAGGGGGTGTGGGGGGGCGCAGAGGGCATAGCCAAGGCTGACTGGGAAGCTTGGGACAGGAGGTGGCCAGATGGACAAGAAAGACCCAGGGGCAAGCCAAGCTGGTGGGAGGCAAGGCTGACTTGAACCCTGCAGGTGGGCCAGGGGTCGAGGAGGGAGCCTCATCTCTCCCAGCCCAGTGCCCCTCCAGGCACCGCCAGCTCTGGGCATAGGGGGGCCAGGCCTGGTTCCTGGGAGCTGAACTTGGACACACATCTGGGGTCAGGTAGTCAAGACCCAGGGAGAGAGCCACAGGCATGGCCTCAGACTAGAAAGTTACCTAGCAAGAAAGACCCAGGGGCAAGCCAAGCTGGTGGGAGGCAAGGCTGACTTGAACCCTGCAGGTGGGCCAAGGGTCGAGGAGGGAGCCTCATCTCTCCCAGCCCAGTGCCCCTCCAGGCACCGCCAGCTCTGGGCAGGGAGGGCCAGGCCTGGTTCCTGGGAGCTGAACTTGGACACACATCTGGTGTCAGGTAGTCAAGACCCAGGGAGAGAGCCACAGGCATGGCCTCAGACTAGAAAGTTACCTAATGCAGAGGACAATGGGACTTACCCCTGTGGGCTGCATCTTGGTGTCCAGCAGGGGGGCATTGAAGCTGGCAGACAGACTGGGGGTGGCCAGGACCTCCCGGAGTGGGATCTTGGCTTCCCCCAGGAACCTGAGTGGAGAGAGAAGTTGAATGTCAAAAACCAGCCTAGGGCCGGCCCGGTGGCGCACTGCTACAGTGCGTCGCTTGGGAGCGGGGCGGTGCACCGGCCGAGGGTTGGGATCCCCCATACAGACTGGCCGCGCTCTGGCTGAGCGAGGTGCG